AAACTCCATACACCAGCTTCTGCCAATGCGGATACCTTTGCTTGGACTCAATGAGTACCTCGCTGATATAATAGACTGGATGTTGAACCGGATGCTCCGTACCTGCCTCCTTTCGCTCTACCACAATAGCCACGCTGACCGCCCGAGCATTAGCAGCAACATATAGCAGTAACGGCTCCTTGTCAATGGGAGCGGCGAGCACAGGCGGATTGGCCAATGGCCGCTTTAAGTCCTCAAATGTTCATCAACAGCGGAACTCCAGACAAACTGATCCTTCTTCTTCAACATCTGATACAAAGGGATTGCCTTCTCACCAAGACGACTGATAAACCGGCTTAACGCGGCAATCCGGCCTGCCAGGCGTTGAACATCATTGATACACTTCGGTTTAGTCAGGGAGGTGATGGCTGTGATCTTCTCCGGATTAGCCTCAATTCTCTTGTTGGACACCAGAAAACCCAATAACTTGCCCGCTGGTACACTAAAGACACACTTGTCTGGATTAAGCATCATCTTGTATGTCCTTAGGTTATCAAAGGTTTCCTTCAAATCATCAATCAGAGTCTCCTTCTCCCTGGACTTAACCACGATATCATCCACGTAAGCATGTACATTACGGCCAATCTGCTTGTGAAGACAATTTTGTACACACCGTTGATAAGTTGCCTGGGCACTCTTGAGCCCAAAGGGCATAGAAACATAGCAGAAGGCTCCAAAGGGAGTTATGAATGCCGTCTTCTCCTGGTCCTTAACTGCCATTTTGATCTGATGATAGCCAGAATATGCATCCAAAAAACTTAAACGCTCACAGCCCGCCGTAGCATCAATAATTTGATCAATACGGGGGAGGGCAAAAGGATCCGCTGGACAAGCCTTATTAAGATCTGTGTAATCCACATACATGCGCCAGGTGCCATTTTTCTTAAGGACCAGCACCGGATTGGCAAGCCACTCAGGGTGAAAAACTTCAACAATAAAGCCAGCTGCTAAGAGCCTGGCTACCTCTTCTCCAATCGCCTTGCGTCTTTCTTCGTTAAACCGACGGAGGAACTGTTTCACCGGTTTGTATTTAGGATCCACATTAAGGGTGTGCTCAGCGAGTTGCCTCGGTACACCTGGCATGTCAGAGGGCTTCCATGCAAAAATGTCCCGATTCTCACGGATGAACTCGATGAGCGCGCTTTCCTATTTCGGATCCAAGTTAGCACTGATGCTGAACTGCTTGGACGAATCGCCAGGTACAAAGTCAACAAGCTTAGTTTCTCGGTGGCTTCTTTAATGGAGTCATGTCCGCCGGATCAACATTGTCCTTATAATACTTCAGCTCCTCGGTGGCACAAACCGACTCTGCATAGGCCGCATCTCCTTCCTCGCACTCCAAAGCGATTTTACGGCTTCCGTGAACCATTATTGTCCCCTTGTGACTCGGCATCTTGAGCTACAAATACACATAACAGGGCTGTGCCATAAACTTGGCGCAGGCCGGTCGCCCAAACAGGGCGTGATATGGACTTTGGATTTTCACCACTTCAAATGTCAATGTCTCCGACCTGGAATCATGATCATCCCCAAAGGCCACTTCCAGAGCTATCTTACCAACAGGATATGCTGATCTGCCAGGTGCTACACCATGGAACACCGTATTAGATGGTTTGAGATTTTTATCTGTTAGTCCCATACGACGGAAGGTCTCATAGTACAAGATATTAATGCTGCTCCCTCCATCCATGAGCACCTTGGTGAACTTGTAACCTCCCACCTGAGGCGCCACCACTAGAGCCAACTGACCCGGATTATCAACCTGGGGAGGGTGATCCTCTCTGCTCCATATGATTGGCTGTTCAGACCAGCGTAGATAACGGGGTATGGCTTGTTCAACAGAGTTGACCGCCCGCCTCTGAACCTTCCGGTCTCGCTTGTCCAAGCTAGTGGTGAAGACATGGTACTGCCCACTACTCAACTGCTTTGGGTTGCTCTGGTAACATGACTGTTGCTGCTGTTGGTTGTAACCACCCTCGTTGTTCTGACTATTTTGATTGTTATGTCTGCCCGGATTACCGTTAAATCCTGAACCAGAATTTCCTCCACCGTAACCCGGCCCGGACCCTGAGCCACCGCCGGAGCCGTGATCATACCGGAAAGCATTAGAATTCTTGAACTCCTGCATAATGAAGTAATCCTTCCAAAGGTGGTTTGCTGGCGCTTCCTTCGTCCCATGTCTTGGACAAGGCTGACTCAGTAGATAGTTTAGGCGGTCCGGGTTAGGGTTGGGTGCCCCATTGCGATTTTTCGGTTTACCCTTGCGTCGCTGGCCATTGTCCTGCGTGTTGGTATTAGCTACAAAGTCCATGTTACCATCCGCTTTACGCTTGCCTCCACCACCATTACCTGCCCAGTGATGCTGCTGGCCTTTGGAGTTGCTATTCCTCTTTCCCTTCCCTGCCTTGTCATCATCAGATTCGGGATCCTTGGTACTATCAGAATCAGCATACTTTATCAAAGCAGCCATGAGGGTTCCCATGTCAGTGCAATGACGCTTCATCCGTCCCAGCTTCAGCTTTAGGGGCCCAAACCGGCAGTTGCCTTCTAGGGTTAATACAGCGGTGTCAGCGTTGATGCGGTCTGATGAATGCAACACTTGTGAAACCCGGCGCACCCAACAAGTCGTCGATTCTCCTTCCTCCTGGACACAGGCAGCTAAGTCCACTATCGACATAGGCTGTTTACATGTATCCTTGAAATTGCTGATAAACCGGGCTCGTAATTGGGCCCATGAACTGATAGAATTAGCCGGCAAGCTTTTTAACCAAGTACGGGCCGTTCCTTCAAGCATCATGGTGAAGTATTTCGCACACGCCGCGTCATCCACATCAAGCATCTCCATGGCCATCTCATAGCTCTCCACCCATGTCTCTAGAGGTTGATCCGCCGTGTAATTTGGTACTTTGCGCGGGCCTTTGAAATTCTTGGGCAGGCGCACATTACGTAAAGCGGGGACAAGGCAAGGCACCCCCAAAGAGCTAGAAGTAACACCAGATTCGATCGAGATAGTTGGACGAACCGGCGTGAGCTGCCGAGCCTGATGTTGTGCGGCTAACTCGGCCTCCCTGCGCGCTCGGGCCCGGTCCACCACTTCCTGAGTGTTATCAGCACCACCCGTCGGGTTGTTGCCACAGGGTGCTCCACATCGCTCATTACTCGACAGTGCCGGTTCATCCATATGTCTACTATAGCTCCGGCTTGGACGGGGGGTTGAGTGGATCCAGTCGCGGCTGTACGAGTATGCTTCCTGTTGGACCAAGGCTGTCCTCAGAAGCTCCTTGACCCGTCGAGTTTCTCCTGCCTGCAGCGAGTCACCTTCAATTGGAATGGCCTCCAACCGTGCAGCAGCGGCGACGAGATTGTCCATTGGGTTGGAGTAATGAACCGGAGGTGTTAAAACAGCCTGAGGTATCACGGTGTTTTGACGAGGCGGGTCCATCTGACGAGGCTGAACCGGTGCACCGGTCCCAGGAGCTTTCGCCCGGTTTCCCTCCAGCGGATTGCTGGTTCCTGCTCCTGGAGTGTTGAAAAGGTCTCTGGCCTCGAAAACAGGAGGCAAACGGGATCGATACTTCCTCCTCATGACTTCCTGCGATGCGCTCTAGTCCAACATGAGCATGTAGGCTTGTGCGTCTAAAGCGGCCCGCTCTGTGGCCATCCTGGTGTCCTCAGCTGCCAGATCTGCCTTGGCCTAGGTGATCTGTTCCTTCACCTTTGCAATCTCCGCGTTGTGAACGCCATGATCCGCCGGATTAACTTCCGCCATAAGCACAGCCAATGCATCAAATAGCTCTGATAGAACTTGAGCCGGCGGGCGCACAGGGCCTCCTGCCCCGGCAGCCGTCGCCGCTGCTGAACCGGAGGTTGTTGCCGCAGCGGTCGAAGAATGAAGCGTTGCTTGTGTGCCAGCCATGAATATTCCAACCCGGTTGGGCAGGTCAGAGGGGTCCGGAATGCTGTCGCCATCGGAACAGCCCCCAATCCGGCCGTCTGTAGCTGATAAAGAGATTCGGTTTCTCCGGTCGATGACTCGTCATCGAAACAAACGACGGTATCACCACGAGATTCCGATCTATCCTCATAACTTCCTCCATGGATGACTCCCACGAAGGCACGCTTCATGGCCGGTTTAACCCGGGCGGATCGCGCATGCTGAGCCGTCTCAACGAGGTCGGTGCAGATGTCCGGCTCAGGGCCCGGTTCACCGATCTTGCCAATGAAAACGTGAATGCCATCAAAGGGGACCCGGTACCCGTACTCAATTGAGTCGGCCTCGGGGCCCCAGCCTGCGTCGTCGATGTAGAGCTTGCCGCGATGACTCTTAGTCATCCGGCCTACAACGTAGCCCTCGAGTCCTTCAAAGCAGCCCTCCAAGAATCTGAAACCATCGTGCGATACTGGACCAAGAGTAAAGCAAAGCGACACTGGCAAATGTCCTCGCCATACCAAGTTTTGAACACCGCAATAGCCATTTGTCCTTGAGACGAGATTTATAAATCGTTGAAGCGACATCAGTTCGAACATCACCCGACACGGTACATGCTTGCAATCTATCACCACTAGTTCAAGTGTTGAAGAAACCGAACCATGTCATAGAACAACACGTCGAAGTCGTTGCACCAGTATACAGTCAATATAGCTCTTCTTAAAAGACACACCACCTGCCAAGAACTGAAGGAACCAACAAATCTAGGGATACCAACTCTCATAGCCCCTTCGTTGGGGCCGGGTCAGACGACATTCTACTTGGTTATTCATGTAATTTTTGTGCACTTAGCAAACACAACACATTTTTTCCTTTTTATTGATTTTAACACGACACAAAATTTTAGACAACTTGTAGGGAAAAAAATAAGCACACAACACCACATTAGTATGTACCCAACAAACGGGCCGGCCGAGAGGTCCGTTTAACTCGTCCGCATCGTTTTAACGCATATGTTCTTGGCGAGTCGTCGCTAGCTCCATTGGAGTTCCTTAGGCTTATCGCCGTCTATGAACCCGAGCGCCGTATGGAGGTTGATCACCACGTTTGCCATGAAGGGTCGATCCTGCTGCCACAGACAGCGTGTTGCCGTGTACGCGACGAGCTCCAGCGCCTCCATCTGTCTCGGCGTCGGCTCCGGCGACGGGCGCCTGTCCAGCACAGAGCGCAGGTTCCTACTCTCGATGGCCGGGACGGCAAAGCCAACCAAGGTGTTCGGGTCCTTCCCCTCCCAGCTAGGCGGCCTGCCAGTCAACACCTCGAGTATCACCACGCCAAAGCTGTACACGTCGCTCGCCGGACTCACGCACCTCGTGCGGCAGTACTCCGGGTCTGTGTACCCGACTTTGCCGACTACGTCCCCGACGTGCTGGCCGCCCGTCGTCGGTACTTGCAAAATCGCCGCGCCGAAGTCCGACAGGCAAGGCACACAGCTCTTGTCGAGAAGGATGCTCGAGGAGCTGACGTTTCGGTGGATGATCCCCGGCACGGCGAAGCGGTGCAGGTGGTCGATGGCACCGGCCGCGCCCAGCAGCGCCTGGAGACGCGCCTTCCAGGACGACGTCACCGGCGACGCAGAGGCAGAGCCGCCGCTTCCGCCCGGCGTCAGGTGATCCCTGAGCGTGCCGTTGCTCGTGTGCTGGTATTGGTAGACGAACATGCGTTCGTCATCCTCCGTGCACCAGCCCACCAGGCGCACGATGTGGTTGTGACGGAGGTTTCGGAGGATCTCGATCTCCGCCACGAACGCACCCTCTCGTTGACTCCCGTGGTTCTTCAGGCTCTTGACGGCCACCTCCTGGCCGTAGTTGCCGGTCAAGACGGCGATCTCCACTGACGTGAAGTGCGCAGCTGCATGCGTTGAGGTTGAGCCCACGTAGGCGACCTTCGCAGGCTCCTATAGAAGACGATGGCACAAATATTAATACACACACACGCACGTAATTAATTAAGCTGTAAACCTCACTGCTGGATGGTTCTTCTGATATGTTACGTACCTTGAGCTGCAGAGAGCGCGAGTCGAAGCCTTTGCCTGGCCCCGGCACCATAGCAGATGCAGAAGCAACCATAGTTGTTGCATCAGGAGAGAGGATCTGGTCGAGGCGGTGGGTAAGGGAGATTTGGCTGAGCAATTGAATGTCGAGGAGGTGTGAGTCGATCCTGTCGTTGACTTTCTTGAACTTCGCAGCCTGCTCGCCGGCACAGAAGAGCTTCTTGAGCCCGTTCGATTTCTGGCAAGCGACGACGAGATCGTGCGCCATCAGGAGCGTGTCGCGTAGGCCGGCCAGTGCTTCGGCCACCTCAGGGTCCTGCAGCTTCAGGCGATGCAGCAGCCTGCCGATATGGGATACGCGCCCCTTTAGGTGCTCGCACTCTACCTTATTCTCGCGGGCTTTCTCTGCCGCCTTCGTAATATCGGAGATGAGCACGAAAACTAGCCGCGCCACCGCCGCCGCCGGCACTGCCACTACTACAAGCTCGAGACCAGCCATGACTCTGTAATTACCAACTACCGGGCGTTAGTTGGTGATCATCAAGCGACAAGAAGAGGTGGCTATATATGCATGGTCGCCCAACGGCATGGTCGTCGATGCCGCGTTAGTCCTTCGAATTGTTCTCTAGGTTTTGCATCTTCTACTTGGTTAATTAAGTGGTTGCATATTTTTATGGTTTGCGTGCTGTACAAGACAAATTCTGTAACTGTAGGATTTGATGATGTTCGTCTTAGAATCTAAACTATCTTGATAATAATATAAGTAGTACTATATATCGCTTTCGTATACTTAGTCGGCCGGAAATGTGCAACGAGCTGGGCGGTTGGGGCAATTATTGCTTATGGAGAAATAGTTATTTCTCGATCGCTGACATCACCGGTACCGATAGCAAAAGCATATACCACATCATGCCTCCAATTTTTCTCTCGTTTGCTAGTTTTCGTTTTGTGCGTTGTACCTTTTTTTCGGAAGAAATGTATCAGAGCTATGTTTCATTCATTAAGAGGGGAACCAGCAGAGCCAGGAAATTACGAGGGGTTACAAGGAACACAAGATTACAGATCACACCGAGACCAACGACGAGCTACAAGCAGTGGCGTAAATGCCTGTTTGAAGAAAAAAAACATTATCTCCTAAACGTTTATTCAAATAAACTGAAAATCTCCTAGATTACTGCTGGGAACCTGACTGGGCCTTTTCTTTTTCAGTTTTTTTGTACATCTAAGTCATATGTCATTGATTTTACATTAAGATTCGTGTGAATATTTTTTTTTTTGCTTGATTCACTCACTTGAAGGTGCAATAATTAAAGCACGTCTAGATGTGCTCTAGACATATCCTTTCTTTTTTTGATTCATGTTGCGGTGTGTGGCAACCTGTTGTTGCCGCACTGCCTGACCCTTAATGGTCACCACACAAAAAGAAAACCAAACAAAACAAAATGGCCACCATCGATAACCTGTTGTTGGACTCCTCCCGTGTCGCCCCTGCGCGGCGACCGGGAGGAACCCTAGCGCCGCCGCGTCCTCGTCCCTCCCTCGACCTTTCCTCCTCGTCGCCGCCGGGCAAAGCCCGGTCGGCGTCGGCGGCGGCGGGATCTCTTCTCCCACGACTCGCTGGATCTGGCGCGGGCACATCGTGGCGGTTTTTGGCGGCGCGCTGGAGGTGGGGCGCGCCGGCGCGGGCTTGGGGGCAACGGCAGGGCTCACGCTCGCGGTTTTCCCCTGGTGTGCGTGGGAGTCCGCTCGAGGCGCACGGCGGCGGCCCTCGGCAAGCGATGGTGGGCGCTAGGCTCTCGGCGGCGCTCCGGCGTGTGCAGGTGGCGGTGCTCCCTGTGCGCGGTCGACGGCTCCGTCTCTGACCCGGACGGCGCGGGGGATGGCGGCGGACCGGCGTGGCCGACAATCTGGATGCGGTGGTGCCGGCGGCTCGCTGATCTGCCGATACTCCAGGGTTCTGCCTGGTGGTGCTGGTGGTGACGGCGGCCCATGCACGAGAGTTGGATCCCTTCGAACTGATCTGGGTGAAAACTTGCCTTCGGCGTCTGCTAAGGCCGGCGGTGGCGGCGCTATCTGCGTCGTTCCCTTCTTGAAGGCATCGTCGTCGAGAAGTTCAAGGCCACTCTCTGCTACCTCTGGGGGAAACCCTAGATCGGATGATCGGATGACGGCGACGCTATGGTGTCGTTCCTCCCTTGGGGTATCATTTTTGGAGGTACACACGTGATCAAGGGACCAGAGGACGGATTCTTTGGTGGACCGGTGATTCATACTACACACTAATGGCGACGGATCTTAAACGTGTGGCGCAGTGCAGATTCAGAGTTTGCTGTGGGCGGATGGACTCGTGAAGGAGGACGACGCTGTCGGGCGTCGTTGTGGCGTCGATGGCAGAGAGACCTGGCACGGTACATGCAACAGTACAACTCTGAAGATGGATTGGTGGCAGGTGGCTGCGGCGGCCTCATACCTGGCAGGCGTCCTGGTTGAGGAGTGCGCCGGACTGGTAGGTGCCCCATACCCGGCAGGCGTCCTGGTTGGGACCTCAGATCTTAGATGTTTAGGTTTGGCTATGATGTCTGTTTGGTATTATGCCCGGACTATCTGCACCCCTTCATTGATTGGATAGGTGTAGCGACAGTTGTTGCTTAGACGGTGGCTTTAGTCTTGTTGTTGTATGGCTTTGTAAGGCCTTGTGAGAATAATTAATAAAGTGGTTGTATGCATCGTCCAGATGCAGAGGTCGGGGGTCATTCTTCTTTTCTAAAAAAATCAATAACATGTTGTCTTTCTCAAAAAGAAAAAAAACATGACCTGGATGCGCCAGGGAATTTGCTGATCAGGGCATAGCAAACCAAACAAAAAGTAAGGCCAGTTAGCCAGAAAAAAAGGCCACCACACACCCTCCAACACGAATCTCCGCGTGCGCGATGTATCCAGTGACCACTCAGGCGATTGAGATGCAACTATTTCTTAGCTAGGTGAGAAACAACAAAACCTTTTTTATGTAGTTGCCTAGTTGATGAGCAATTAGTACAAATGTTGCAAAACATTCTCTTCCATACTACTAATTCTAGTAGGCAGGGTTTGACATGCACTAGAGGATTTTCCTTGCGTGGGCAAACCCCCAGAAACCACGTTGGCCCATTTGGTACAGAGGGTTTGTATGGGCCAATCCTCTCTAATCCACGCGAAACCACGCGAACCCACGCGACTCAAAACTCTCGTCCAGTGACTCAGGGAATCGCTCGTCCCATCGCATGCCGCCAGCGAGAGGAAGAGACGCCGCCGCCGCCACCACCGAGGGGAAGAGCCCCGCCGGCGAGAGGAGCCCCCACGCCACCCGCCCGACTCTGCCCGACGCCCCGACGCCGCCCGACTCTGCCCGACGCCGGTGTTACTCCTCCAACATACTGGCCTTCTCCCTGGTGGTAAGCCATCTCCGCCTCTCCCTTCCCCTCGTCCTCTGCCCGCCTCCGTCCTAACCCTGTCCCCGGTGGTAAGTCATCGACGCCGGAGAGCTCGCTAAGAACGCTGTCCTCTTCTAGCCACTCATCGACCCTAACCCTACCCGACGAGATTGCCGTGATTTTCTGATGGTGATGGTGATGGTGATGGTGATGGTGATGGTGATGGTCTGATGGATCTAGGAGGATTGACAGTTTGTAGCAATATTGTGTTTCTATAGAATGAGATGTTTATTTCATTTTATTTGAAATAGATGAGTGCTCTGCATATTTGTTAGGAGAGAATCCATGTTTCAAATGTCCATTGTCCGAGATGTCAAGATTTGTTAGTAGCTGATGCAAAGGAGGAGGACTTGTTGGGTTGTGGTGACGACCGACAGTCTTGTTCTTCAGTCTAATTTAGCGATAGTTATCTGAACTTGCAAATCTACAACACTTGCGACTAATGCTACTGTCTCTTCATTACTCCAAGAGTTTAGCAGTGAAATATGTTGTTTGGTATATAATCTTGTTGTTAGTGCTGGGAATTAGCACACAAATGCACTTGTGGTTAACTGATAACTGCAGCGGAAACAAGTAATCTCAGCACCACATCATGTACTAATTCAAGGATCATTACTTAGCACGGAAGGAAACATATGCAGCAGCATATATGGAGGCAGAAAATGTTACTCAGCAGGCAAGACACTCCTCGGCCTAGTGTCTTTTGGTAGGACTAAGTTTCTGGACAGCACCAAGTATCAACAAAGAGACACTAGATTTTCACGTGAAAAACCCCTTAACTTGAGGGGTAAAAACCACGGACTGAAGCCACCCAAATCCTCTTCCACTATTATCAAATGTGGGATACAACAAGTTCTTCTCTAGAAAGCACTAGAGGGTCTCATACATCAAGATTTCTGAATCTTGGATGAACACAACAAGATTTGGGCCTCAAGAACTAGGGATTGGAACAATCTCACCAAAGATGGTGGAACCGAAGCTTGAAGGAGACAAGGTAGTGGATCTGGAGCATCACAACCTTGGGGAGGTGCTCCCTTGCTCTTCCTTCAATCTTCCTCTTCTTCCCTTGCTCTCTTGGTTTTCTCTCTTCTTCTCTCTTGGAGAATGAACTGATTTTCGTCACACTTGGTGGTGGATGCTGGATGGAGGGTAAAAGCATCCCCATCCACACATGTGCAAAGTCTAAAATGACCCTAGGTCATAACCCTAATGGGTAGTGGGCTTATGCACCTCTTTGGGCTGCCTAAAAGGCCTCAAATGGTCATCTCCTCACAGCCCACATGAGAAGGATATCCCAACAGTTAGCTTGTTTGGAAGTTTGATAAAATGCATGGACCTTGCAGTATAGTGTTGCTTGATTATGTTGTCACAACTCACAACACGAGTATGTGATACAACAGGTTTAAGCTGATCTGCTTGCGCCAACTTGCAGTGAGAAGCCATTTTAAGTGTATTGTACTTCTTTGTTTCAGAATGTACTTGTTCCATCCATGTGCTAGACTCTAGAGTTTGGTTTAGAAAGCAGTACTTTAGTACTACTAGCAAAATCTTCCTTTTTGTGCAACTCGGCCTAAAAATGTAAGATAAATAAATAAGTTTGCCTAACAGGGAGTCGGGTTTATGTTGTTGATATCTTTCTTGGAGACTGCATCCAGAGAGGTAGTGGAGGATGTATTATCTCATCTTCAGTAGCTGACCATTCATTACAGTTTCTTTGCAGTGCTCTTTCTAGCCAGCAAGGAAATAGTCCACATTGCGAGCTTCACTGAATAGTTGTTTGAATTTGAAGGAAATAAACATACATACATCCAGGGCAATATTTCATTGCGACCTTTTAACACATTCTGAGAATTTTAGAAGTCCAGATGTATTCTAGTTAGTTTCAAATGTGCTTTGCTTCACTTCGGAAGATGCCAGTTGTTTGAATTTTAACTCTGCATTCTCCTTGAGATTTTTTGTTTGTTTGTTATGAACCTTGTGCTTCTGCCTTTGATGATTTCATTGAATTCACCATTGACCTAGGTCTTGG